GCTGGCTTCCCCATTGACTTTGGTTGTATGAACCTGGCAGGGAACGTCAGAAATCTATCTGCCTGCCTGCCTGCCTGCCTTCCCACATATAATATAGGCTTTCACTATTTGTCCTCCCCTCATGACCCTCAGGAGAGTCCCTGTGAAGCATCCTCCTCCTCCTCAACTGATCTGCAGAACTGCCTGACACTTTGCTATGGGGAGGTGGAACAAAGGGAGCCATGGACTGTGAGGAATACTGCAGCCTCACTCTCTGTTCCAGTGTGTCCTCAAGGGCCTTCTTCCCTCCATGGAGGAAGGAGGCATTGACTGCTGACGCTCCCCAGCCAGCCCTACTTCTCCAGAAGGCATTCGTCACTCCCTCGTCCTTCCCTCAATGCCCACTGCTGTTAAGAGATTCCAAATTTTGGCCTCATTTCCAAAGCAGCAAATCGCCAGTAGCCCATCAGGACTTGCTGCCAGCCAATTGGGCACAGGGGACAGAGGGAGACAGGAAAGGGGTCGGGGATATGCCCATGACAATCACATGACCTTGGCTGACCATGGCACCATAGCAATGCTGAAGCAGCCACAAATTCCCCAAATTTCAGTCCCACAGAAGTCATGGGTCCTGGATTTTGGACACATTCTGTAAGTTAGCCCATTTGAGGTACCTTGGTTCAAAAATTGTTGCCCATGCACTGTTTCACCCAGCTGAACATTACAGACACAAGAGTTTTAGTAGTATACAGATACATGTATACATACATGCATATACTGCATATACATATACATACATCTATGTGTGTATGTACTGTATGTAAAAGTAACATATATACCAAATGTTCCCACCTCCTATTTTCCCCACAATAACAATCCTGTGAGGTGGGTTGGCTGGGAGAGAGAGTGACTGCCCCAAAGTCACCCAGCTGGCTTTCATGCCTAATTGGGCAACATAAAATATAATTTGGACATATGGCATGGCAGTACCTTTTTGGCCTTTTTCCTCTTTGGAGACTGGGTATTGTCCATTTTCCTCTTGGCAAACTTTGTACAGTCTATGCGGCAAAATATTTCTGGAATAAAAACATTGTTAGTCCACAAAGATGCTACCATGTTTGATGATAATATCAGTGAAATCCTCACCTGACCCTTAGAATTATGTGGTTTTGATTTGTCCATTATTAACTGGTTGTATCACCAAGTAATAATAATTTAGAGAGCATGCTAGCAGGGTAAATACATCATCATAACATTTAAAAAACCACTGATAATTGTGGCATAAATTGTGCGTTGCTTTCAGACTAAGAAAAAAAAGTCTGGTGCTTAACTGTTATCTGGATAGCTTTAAAAACTGGGTCCTCTTGTGTAAAAGCATCCTTGCTCAAATGAGCAGCTACAAGCCAGTAGCACAGGGTCTCAAGAAGCCCCTGAAGATTAGAGGGCTGAAAGCCATCTTCTACCAACAGCCTCCATGTCTTACATTCAACTAAATACCATTTAATTGCAGACAGGCATCCTCAGATTTGCAATTTATATGAGGTTATACAACATATTTTCAAAGGGCCTTGACAATTCCTGCTAAATTAATGTTATTCACTCCAAGCTCCCACACTCCGGCAGTTCATCTGCAGCTTTCAAGCTCAAGCAGAAAGCCCAGTTCACATATTTAACTAAGCTGTATCGCTGTGATTTGTGATCCACGGTTCTAGGTCAGCTTGTTCTGAGAAACCAGATATCATGGCCTATTAAGCAAACCATGATTTAACATATGTAATTTGCACGGAAGTCATTTCTTCAATCTGCCAAGTCAGTGATGAGTTGGGATTTCAGTATCTTTCCTGATTCTAAAAGGATCTCTGTGCTTCTCAGCGGGGAAGCAAACAATAACTTCGAGATCCTCCCCCTCCTCTTGTTATTCAAACATTTCGGGCATGTCATGTCGGACCCCCTCCCTTCCCCCCAATCAGTCTGGATAATTAGAGGTCCTCCGGAAGCGTTATTCAATTCCCTCCGCTGAAACGAACCAGACTCCGTCAAAACGATGCTCTCACGCCAGGGAAGGTCCTACAATTTGAAATCCCTTTAGCTCATCCAATGTTTCTCAACCTTGGCAACTTGAAAATGTGTGTACTTCAACTTCCAGAGTTCCCCAGCCAGCGTTCTTACCTTTCAGGCTTGGAGCTCGGAGTACCGGAGAAAACGAGGCTCTCTCAGAGCAGTTCAGGCACAGACTTCGGGATCGGCAACGCAGCATTGACTCCACCTCGTTTAGTTTCTTATCGAAACTTAAGCTGGAAACGAAAGAAATCGGAAACACCGAGAGCTTTCTGTTTCCTGAAAAGCAGGGCACTCGTTTCCTTCAAGAGTGAGTTTAATTTCTGAAACCTGACTGCCAGTTTGAATCGTTTTCCGAGGCCTTGCGGGGAAGGAAAGAAATGAAACCTAAAAAACGCTTTTGCTTTTTTCGAGATCTCAACTCCAAAGACGTTACTTTCTCTCAAAAGGATTAGCCAGTAACCATTGCTTTATTCGTTGCTTTGCGCACGCCTAGTATTTTTTATAAAGTATTTTAAAAACTGCTAAAATACAGTGATTAAAAATTAAGAAATATGAAATTAATAAATTAGCAATTGGTTTAGTCCACCATGAATTCTTAAAGAGGCATAATTCATATTTTAGCTACAGTACTCCATGGGCTTTCCTCTGACCTTTTAAGAAATCTGACTTTGAAGATTTAGCGAAACTCTTTCTCCAGGGTGAAGCGGGATTTGCAGAGCTGCAATCTGTAAATAGTCCCAGATTCTGCACCCACCTCTGTACCCATCTTCCCAATGTGGTGCTCCCCTAAAATGTTCATCTTTTCCACATCAGGCTTGAAATACATTTAAATCCACCTAACCTTTGGAGGAGAAAGGGATACGATCCCTTCCGCCCCACCCCCAGCCTATAAATTCAGTCTTGATTTATGTAGTCTTTGAAAAAACATTTCTTTTAAAATGGATGAGAGAGTTCATCTTATTCTAGCCACATCCCAGACATCACTATTACGGATAGATGGGGAGGGGGGCACATCCGATATTTGGGAAAGAGCAAATTACATCAGCATACTTTTGTGCCATTCCACAGACTGGAGGCACATCAAACTGGGTGCATGGATGTGCCCCTTTCAGCTCTATTGAGCATTCTGGCAGAGAGTGAGTGAGTGAGAGTGAGAGAGAGAGAGAGCAACTTTACAAACATACACTTGAAGGGTACGTCCTTGCTTACGATACAGGATTCTTTTCTAAGTGACAGCATAAAACATCAATAGGAAAATCTTTTCTGATTCACCTTTCCCAAGCCTAACGTGTGTCAGATGTCTAAGACCATAATTTCCAAAATTCCAACTCAATTTGATTTATAGTGGCTGGAAATGATAGGTGTTGCAGCTCAACACCTTGAAAGGAGAAGATGGAGCAGGGGAGTGGGGAGGGGAGGCTTCTCCAATTATTTACTATTCATGATAAAAACCAATTCTGCAATTGTGGAGTCCTTGGGGTTCTCTGAGCTTGGTTGATTTCTTGCAAACGTTTCATTACCTGGCTAGGTAACATTTTCAGTGCTAGAAGATGTTACCTAGCCAGGTACTGAAACATTTGCAAGAAAACAACCAAGCTCAGAGAACCCTAAGGACTCCACAGTTCAACCC